TTCTTTCTTTCTTTCTTTCTTTCTTTCTTTCTTTCTTTCTTTCTTTTAAACACAGTGACTCCATTTTTATTCCAAAAATATGTAGAACTAAAATAACAGATAATGTTATAATCCACTGTCAATAAATAGTAGTGATTTTGGCAATATTTCTACATTCTTTTTAAATATTTTTGATTGTTCTAATTAGTTATACATAGCAGTAGAACTCATTTTGACACATCACACATAAATGGAGTATAACCTCTCATTCTTCTGGTTGTATATGCACAAAGGGTCGTAATGTCCTATTCATTCTACTATCATTTCTTCCCTCATATTCCTTCTCCTCCTTCACTTTCCACTATCTAATCCAAATCTACATTCTTTATCACTATCTAATCTCTTGTGTTACTAATTGTCTCATTCATTTCCATCATATGGTGAACTTTTGGCAAACTTTACATAATGGATAAAGTTAAAGCCACAATTCAAATTTAAAATAATTAAGGTAATTGAGTTGCCTTAGGTAAAACTCCCCTAAACCACTTGGAGCTCATTTTTTGGGCAAAGATTTGCTACAGTGAAGAACAATTTTTTACCTCCTTCTACAGTGCTTCTAAAATTATTGATTTTGTCTAAGTTATGACTATTTATTCCAAGGAGGAAAACTATATGTGGAAGTGTTTTTATTCTATTTTCTTCTTAACTTACGTTACCTTTTTTCCATTACTATTTTTCACATCTATGAAGAAAAGAAGGCATTGGAGACCTTAAATGTAATATAATTGTTTTTCATTTAGTCCCCACAATAAAAAGGCACATTGGAGATTAATCCCTTTGGAGAGATTTCTTAACACATTTGATTAAAAAAAAAACCTTTGTTGACCAAGAAGTATAAATAGAAAAGGAAATATATGTTGAAATTAATGAAAAATAACTAATATAAAGTAATGGAATAAACCAGATAAGCCAAAGTCTCAAAATCCGAAACTTTTCATCTCAGAAAAGGCATATGAAATGCATGAAATATCAGCCACTAGGGTTAGGAAGTTTTAGATTAATTTAGGCTAGAATTATTCCTTCCATTTTCTTAAATGATTAATAGGGAAATAGTTTTTGCAAATATGCTAAGCCTAAGAAAATTGATGGCTGTTTTTCATCCTGAAAACATTTATTTCTGTACCTATCTTAGATTTCTCTCCATATGGCTTATTTTGTCTTATATACCTGATAATTTTAGATGTGGAACTGATCTAGAATAGGAGACCAGCTCAACAACAATATTTACCATTTGCTATGGAAAAGTGAATTAAACCATTCTGAGCCTCAGTTCCTCAATGGAAAAAAAAAAGTCTATATCAGAGCATCAGAAATCCAAGGGAGAAAAACTGAATGAGAAATCCATTATAAGTCATAAATAGCTACAATAAATCTAGCAATGATTGTGCTCCTGAAAAACTACATGCAATTCAGTGGTTTGGAAACATGCCATATTTGAGATGAGCTAGAAGACCACAGAAGTCTGGTGCTTTTGTACATTGGAGATGCAGCTCTTTGTGTTCCTATTTAAAAAATCTGAGGATTTAAAATCTAAATTTATTTGTAATCAGGGTTAAGCTAATTGTCATCCCTAAGACCTAATAAGAAGCTATAATCAGTGGATTCTACCAACTACTGGTAGAAAATTGCATAAAAAATGAACATGTGACATACATTTCCCTTGTCATTATTCCCTGAACAACTATTTGCAATGGGAGTACAAGTTCCATAGCAAACTATGAACCTATTCAGGGAGGTAAAGGCAGTGTACTAACTATTTACATAGCATGTACAATGTATAAGGTATCATAAGTAATCAAATGATGATTCAAGTAGACAGGAGAATCTGCTGAGTTATATGCTATCAATATATCACTTTATATGAGAGATTTGAGCATCTGCAAATTTTGGTATCTTTGGGGGTCTTGGAATCCACTCCCTGTGGATATGGGGAATCCACTCCCCATTGTACTTTTGTTCTTCAGATGACCTTTCTGTCTACTGTTCTTACCTAGGTTCATTGTAGTCTGTGGAAACATCACTGTAGACAGTGTGACCGCTTTCCTGAGGAATTTTCTACGTCACAGGTCAGGGGAAATCAACACTGAGATTGTTTTTCTGGGAGAGTAAGTATATCTGTAAGGTTCTAAATGGGTTCTAAATTAATGCTCGAAATATTTACACATACTTTAATGGGAGAAAGTTACCTTTATAATATTCCTATAAATTTTAGGAAATAATAATAAATAAGAAAGAAAAAGAAGAGCAATATCATGTCCAGAGTTAACCTCTGCAAATATTTTGGGATATATCTTACCAGATGCTTTCCTAAATGTATTTTAATATTACTTAAGTGGCTCTATTAGCTGGCATTTAGTTATTCTACACGTGCTATTATCATATTTGACCATAATTTTGTGCACAAATCTTATGTCATACTTTCTTATTACTAATTGAACTGTTAATTCTCAGAATGGGAAGTGTGAAGTTCACATGGAAGCAGAAAGGATTGGCCTTCGTGGTGTTTTTGTTCTATCCAGTACACCTATCCACCAGCAGAGTTCAAATCAAAGAGTTTGTCAAACACCAGGGAATACATATTTAATACAGAGAGATTTTTAAAGCATAGTTGAAGTGTGTGAAATGAATTCTTATTGTTTCATTTTACAATATTCAATTTTAGTTCCCAGTAAAATTGAACAATTGTGTGTGTTTTAACTGTTCTCATTTCTTTTTGAAATTCCTATTTCTTTTATGGTCTTCTATCAGGGGAGTCATCTGTTGGCTTATTGACTTTCAAACACTCAATATATTTTGATATTTGCTCTTTTGTGTCTTTTGTTGTGTATACATGTTCCACTGTCTTCTGCCTTTTAATTGTGTTTGTGTTTTTAATATGGAAGCACTTAGTTCTCATGTGTTCTAATCCAACAACTCATTATTTCAGCTCTTTGCTTTTCTGACCTTCATAGGCCTCTCTGTTACAGAATTAAGTGAATATTTTTGTAGTGTTATTATATTTTCATATAATGATTTTTAATATTCAAGCTCTCTGGGATTGATTGTGTGTGATAATAACAACATTATTTTTCTCCAGTGATTAATCAATTGTTCAAACATCATTCACTGAGTAAGTTAGACAGATTTGAAATAGCATTTTGATCTTACAAAGGATTGTATGTGGGATTGCCTTGACCTTCATGCATTTTATAGTTGAAAACTCTGCACAATCCACCATGATTTTGAATCATCACATATGTGATCTACAATAACATTTATTACTTTATGCTGCTATTGATGGACAGTAGTTTTGTTTCCACATCATTGCATAAATGGATAACTAATACAAAAGAAATGATACTGGAAGTGGAGTACTGTCTTTCCAGGAGCCAAAATACCCTTTCCAAGGTAGGCAGAGGCTGGAAAGTTTTCATGGATATTGTTGGCAGGGCTGGAAAGACCATGAAGAAATTGCTACCAGGTGCTATAGGAAGCACAACCAATGTTATCATTATAGAATTTTTGTAATAATTTCTCTGGCAATAGCATGGATGATAGAAAATGTACCTCATGAAATTATGAAGTTGGCTAAGAAGATTTCCCCTAAAGAATACCGAGTCTCACTTATTTTAGTTTAATCATAAGGATATTATAAGGAATTTGTTTTAAATGAGAAATTCTTTAGTTTTCAAGCAGAACAAAGAGTAAGTATAAAAGTCCCAGAACAGTCTCTCCAAGTAGCTAAAAATATATCACAGAGAAAATGACCTCAGAGGAAAAAAAAATTCAAGTCCAATGTGCACCCTTATAATGTCTGCTCTCAGGGTCAGTCTCCAATCAAGAATATGACTACCAGGTTCTTTAGACTTCAGAAAGATGTAGAGCAATGATCTATAGATGCTCTCAGTCAGGCCAAAGGTCTTCAAGAAGCTGAGACATTCTTCTAGGAAGCTTTACATTCTTTAAGAGAAACTGTCTCCAAGAATATGAATATGATCATGACATAAATCTGAACAAGATTTTTAGAAAATATTCAAGTCTTAAATTTTACTAGTAATAGTCCTGACAGTTTAGAGTAAAAGGGATAGAGAGAGTGCATAAGAAAAAGCATGCCCCTAAGCTCCTAATCTAGTGCAAGCAGAAATCAGGTAGTATCAGGTACTTAAGTACAAACGGAGGCCATCTTACTAGGGAAATGAAAGATGGGGATTCAGAGACAAGTATCAAAGAAAAATGAATTGGTTCATGAGGACAGACCTGAGCAACTGGACCATAATCAAAACAAATATTCTCTGCTCAGGAAGTAAGTGATCCCAATAATATATGCTCAGATAGAGTTCAGAATTTCAGAGAGATAGACTTCAGATTTCTATGTGCTCTCTATTACCACCCACTCCCTTATTAACTGGGAATGTCCAGTACAATTTTTTTTCTCTCTCTACCTCATAATGGTATGTCAGTTGATGATGTGAGAAGCTATTTAGTTCACAGGTCACTGGTCTTGGGATTAGGTGGAGCTATGTGTCAGGAGACACATGCAGATCTGAATCAGATTTAGGTGAGAAGATCCAGGAGTTTGAGGTGATGCCATAAAGATATAGGACTTTGGGGGAAAAGTGAGAATGTTTCGTGCAAGATAAGGATATGAATTCTTATGGCCGGACAGAGGGAAGACTATGGTAGATTATTTTTAAAGAAGGTTATTCTTTCCAAATACTTATACATAATCCATTCTTCCAACCAAAAGTGGAGTCCCGTACTCCCCTTTATTAAATCCAGGGTGGCCTTTTAACTTAAATCTGCTCTTGCTTTTGATTCCTTTATCTAATAAAATGTGTACAAGTGACAGTGTGTCCATTATGGCCAGCCATCTTCGAAGAGTTCTGACAGCTTCTGCTTTCAGTCTACAATCGTCCATTCAGATGGAGAAAGAAGCCCATTCAGCTTCCAGCCATTTCAGATAGCACCATTGAGTCAAGAGACATGTAAATGATGTCATCTCAGACACTGTAGCCCACTAAAGCTCTCAAGACACATGCAATCATAGAAGTCACTCCAACAAAAACACATGAAGCAGCACTATCACCCAACTGAGCCCCATTGAACCAACGAATGGAAGCAAGTCATATTCACAATTCCTTGAAGATAGATTTATCTTCACTTCTTTGAAGCCCCTTGGCTTGAGTAAGAGAATCTTCAGGTCACCTTCCAACATCTTTCTGAGCTCTGAAAAAACTGTTGTATCCTTGATTGGAGCCTGACCCTAAGATCAAATGCTATCGGTGTGCACATTGGACTTGATTTTTTCTCCTGAGGTCATTTTCCTTTTGACACCACTTCTTGCTATTTTAAGTCACAAAGATCCTGCAAGAATTTATACAAAAATGAATAACTGATGCAGAAATGAACCCATTTATTTCTTTGGTAATAAAGCTACAAAAAAAATCTAAGGTATATTTTGAAATTTCACATAGTTCAATTACTAACTCACATTTATATAATTCAAAATACTGGTTACATGGAACAAAAACTGTGGCTACATTAAGCAAAATACATAAGTTGAAATCATCAGCTTTCCTCTGAAGCAGCCAGACAACTAGACTTAGAGATGACACAATAAGGAATGAAGGTGATACAATGCTTCTTTTCTTGAGTAATTTTGATTATTATCATGCATGAGGGGGTACATGGCTGTAGACTTTATTATCTTTTCTTGTTTTCAATGAATATATATTATATACTTTTATATGTGCTATTTTTCATGATACAAGTTGAAAGATGAGAACTTTCTGTGGTTCACAAAAGATGTCATTTCTCAGACTGAAAACATAATGCTGATAAAGATAAATGAAAATCATGTACACATAAACTTACTTAAAATGTGGAAATCAAAACAGGGCAAAGAGAGGCAAGCATGTTTTCGCTGTTGTAACATAGAAGGGACACCTAATTCAACACTGTTACACATGGGATATATCGGGGTGCTCATCCAGGAGAAAGTTACCAGTTGAGAGAATAGTGCGTGTTTAAAGTTTACACATCAAAGAGCAAAATATTCATCATGAACTCTCACCCTTTCCACTTTCCCCAGTCCTACTACTCAGAGATAACCACCCTAACTTTATGTTATTATATTTCTTCCAACTTTATAATTATGTTTGACTATTATTTTGACTTCTCAGTTGTAGGCAGGATTAACCACCACCGGTTACAGATGAGGTTGCAGATGAGCATTGCCCAGCTCCCCACGACTACCTCCTTTCATCATTCCAAAATAGTTATCTTAGAACTTGCAGTTATAGGAGAGTGCTTATATCATTACAGGAATAGTGTTTATATCGTTATGACTAATAAAAATTGCTTCTTGCAGATTCAAATAGCATGTTATGGTATACTGTACTGTATGTCTCCTCAAAATTAATTTTCAATACTTACAAGATTGCCTCTCTTTGTTATATGTCTATCATGTACACTACATCACAGAGGATATATCCTGATGATATATCACAGGTATACCCTGACATTTTTTAAACTACTCCAACATTAAGCAATACAATAGGAACAAAAGTTAAATGAAAAAAAACATTTTAAAATATATTTTAGTTGTCAATGGACCTTTATTTTACTTATTTATATGTTATGCTGAGAATTAAATCCAGTGCCTCACACATGATAAACAAGTATTCTACCGCTGAGCTACAACCCCAGTCCTAGGTGAAAATTTTCTAAGAGTTGCACATGGGCTATTGCAGTATTTTAAAAAAATATGGTAAGATTTCTATTTACTTTTAATTATCAAGGAAATAATTAAGAATCATGCTTAAAACTTTTTAAATCTTTTAAAAAATCTTATTTTATTGGTTCTTTTTATTTATATGTGCTGAATCCATTTTGGTAGAATTATAAAAGCATGGTACATATTTTATTCTAATTAGGACCCTAGTGCCTCTCCTTCCCTTTCCTTATCCCCTGCTCTTGTCCCTCTATTGATTTTCTGCAGTTTACCCAGTTATTTTTAGGTAATTTTTTATTTGTTCTATTTGTTATACATGACAGTGGAATGCATTTTGACACATCAGACATCAATGGAGTATAACTTCTCACTCTTCTGGTTGTACATGATATG